AAAAAAAATCCTTATCAAAAACAAGGTCTAGGCAGATGTTTCACTGAGGAGTTCTTTCAAACATTTGAAGAGTTAATGTCAATGCTACATAAACTAATCCAGAGCATAGAAAAGTAGGAAACACTATTCAGCTATGATTCCAGCACAGCCCTAATAAAAAGCCCAAAGACGCTAAAAAACAAAACAAAACAAAAAAAAAAACCCAACCCATAAAATCATAAACAAGAAAAAAAAATTATAAATAAGAATCTCTCATGAATGTTGTTAGGTGCTGTCAAGTTGAGTATAACTCATAACAATCCTATAAACAACTGATCTGAACCCTGTCCTATTCTGTACAATCCTCAAATTTCTAACATACTTGAGTCCACTGCTGAAGTCAGTGTGTTAAAGCATCTCATTGAGGGTCTTCCTCTCTTTCAATGAATGACCTTCTACGTTTCCTAACATGATGACTTTTTCTAAGGAATAATCCCTTCTAGCAACATGTCCATCGTTGCCTCTAAGCAACACTCGAGCTGCACCATTTCCAAGCCATATCTGTTTTTTTCGGAAGTCCATGGGATATTCAGTACTCTTTACCAACACCATTACTCAAAGGCGTTGATTTTTCTTCTGTCATCCTTATTCAATGTCTGGCTCTCAGACACAGAGCAAGTGTCTGAAAAGACCATGGCTTGAATCAGGTGCACCTTAGTCTTCAAACTGACATCACTGCTCTTCAGTACTTTGGAGAGGTCCTTGACAGCAAACTTTCCTAACAAAATATGTCTTTTAACTTCTGGTACCAACGGTGCTGATTGTGGATTCAAGTAAGACGAATCCAAAATCTGTTGGATCACCTTTCTTGGGAATGAACACAAATATGGATCTCTTCTAGTCAGTTGTCTTTCAAATAACTTGGTACAGACTGATAAGCATGTCCAAGGCTGTGTCCTTTAACTGAGGCATGTCAATTGATTGTCCACTGATTCCTGGGGCCTTACTTTTTGCCAATGTCTTCAGTCCAGCTTGAATTTCTTCATTATCATTGACTCTTAATCATGTGCTACTTTCTATAATATTCTGGTGTCACATGTGGTAATTCAGATGAAATATGAATGAGTCAGCACAAAATGAAGACACCAAAGACAGGAGAAGTACGTAAGAATAAAAGACAATTAAAGGGTTGTTCAAGCAGCCAAAAAAAAAAAAGACAATTAAAGGGAAATCTATAATAAACACAATCTTGCAACAACTGTAATAATACATTATAACTTAGGAACTGATACAAAAATAGATATTTATGCTAAGCAGATATATGAGTTTATATATACGTACATTCATGCACATACACGATATAGCAATGTGATTTCTACATAAATATTTATAAATGCTGCATGCATACTCACATATATAGAACAGAATATATAGAGAAGAGTTATGGAAACTTGTCAGACATAAATATACACTTTACAGGACTCAGCCACCACTAGACTTGAAAACTATGTTTTGAGGGATATATAGGTCAACTGGAATAAAAGCTCATAAAGAAAATACCCTACATTTTCATTTCACAAGCAGCATCAAGTCTTCAAAGCCTGCGAGCATCTATCTGATATACAACTACTATTCGCCTCTTCACACCTGAAGAATGAAGAAAATGAGACAAAGAGCCAAGGAAGCAAACAGTCCAAAGGACTACTGGTCCACATGCACCACAGCCTCATCTAACCTGAGACCAGCAAGAATGAGAAGGTGCTTTGCTACCACTGTCACTGCTCTGATCAGGGACACAATGTAGGGTCCCAGATGGAGTGCATAGAAAATGTAGCACAAAATTCAAAGTCATATGAAAGACCAGCCTCACTGGCCTGACAGAGACTGGAGGAATCCCTGAGATTTTTGCCCTAAGACAACCTTTTAACTTAGAACTGATGTCACTGCCAGAGAGCACCTTTCTGCCATATAGACTGGTCTAAAAAATAAATACCATCAACTGGCAGGAATGTGCTCTATAGATCAATTAACTGTAAGAGACCAGATAGTACCACCTGCAAGAGTAAAGATGAGAAGGTAGAGAAGAGCAGGGGAACTGGATGAATTGAAACGGGAACCTAAGATAGAAATGGGGAAAATGCTGACATGCTGTGGGGATCCCAATCAGATGTTATGAAACAATCCATGCACTTACGAACGACTGAATAGAAAACTAATTTGCTAACTAAACTTCCACCTAAAGTACTAACATTTAAAAAAAAAAAGAAAAGAAAAAAGGCACACGCCTGATCATACTTGTCCTCCTTCAGTGTGAGTGGGTCACTGATATCTGAGCCTGTAGGAAACACCACCAGGACCATGGGAGGCGGGCAGGCAGGCCCTCCTGATATCAAATAAAACAATTCATTGTGTGAGAAACAACAACAATGTTTAAATATTACAACTAAAGTTTTGGTAAAATTTCCGATTCATTCTTGTATCCTAGGCATTTATTTTATGATGGAGAAAATCTGTCAGAAATCAGTTGAAGCATTTGGCCAAAATGTACACTGGGTGCCCCACTAGCCTGACCTATCTTCCTTCCTGACCTATATTTGGTTTCTTAACCTTCTTAGCTCATAACATACTAAACAGTATTAGAAACAGGACCCAAAAGGTTCCGCAAACCAGGGATTGAAAACAACTAGAAGCAGCAAGACAAACTATATTCATTTATTTAAGAAAAAATTATAAGCCCAATTAAATGTGTATATAAAAGGAAACGAAACATTGCTGCTGTCTGTTGTCAATGAGCCGATTCTGGCCCCAAGAGTCGGGAGGAGAACAGCTTCACAGGGCATTCAAGGCTGTGGTCCTTGGGCAGCAGATCACCAGGCCTGTCATCTGAGGCACCTCTGGGTGGGTTAAAAGTGCTCAGATGTACTCAAGCACTTAACCGTTGGTACCGCACCCAGGGACTCTTCAGCAAAACATGGGCACAGATATGAATAGACATTTCTGCAAAGAAGACATTCAGATGGCAAACAAATACATGAAGAAATGGTCAAAATCCCTACCTCTCAGAGAGATGCAAATCCAACAACTATGAGACATCATCTCACCCCAAAATAATAGCAAAGTTCAATAGGGCAGCAACAACAAATGCTGGTGAGGTTGTGGAGAGATTGCAACTCTCATTCACGGCTGGTGGGAATGCAAAATGGTGCAACCCATGAAAGGTGGTCTGGTGCTTTCTCAAAAAGTTGGAAGTAGAAATACCATTTGACCCAGCAATTCTACTACTGGAAATATACTCTAAAGAAACCAGGGCCATGACTCAGAGAGATATATGCAAAGCCATGTTTAACGCTATGTTATTCACAACAGAAAAGAGATGGAAGCAATTCAAGTTTCCATCAACAAATGATTGGATATAATAAAACTATGTTACATTCACATAATGGAATATTACACAGCACTGAAAAAAATGAACTCATAAAGCACTACACAACATAGGTATTCCTGGAGGACATTATGCTGAGAGAGATATCTCAGTCACAAAGAGACAAATAATACATAACACCACTGTTACAAAATAGCACTGACATGGGGGATTAGGGAAGAACAGGAGAAAAGTGGATAAATAATGAACACTGCATTGGAACAGATGAGGGGAAGAACTGTTCAAAAGGAATATATGATTAGGTATGACAACAATCTGGAACAAAAGGTACATTCCAAAGTGGACTAGGGGAGGGTAGAAGCAAAGGGAAGGGAGGAAAATGTACAATAATGAATGAATAAAATAAAACAACATAAAATCAAACCAAAAACCATATGATCATTTGTGTCATGATTTCATGCTTCACAGATGTTTGTCTCTTCTGAATATAATCAATACAAATGAAAGGTAGTGGTCCCACCTGACTATAGGATGGTGGGGGCGGGGTTTTAACTGAGATTTTTATTAAATAGGTCCCTAATTGAAAGAAAGGCACACTTACCGCAAGCTCTTCTGTTCTATCTAGGAACCTGAGAAGAAACATAGATAAGGCATTTTAATTTATTTACATGCGACAATATAACCTCACAAATAAGACTGCTCTGTTACTGTGCTGTGTACCATCACGCGGAACAGATTCACAGCTGACTCTCCAGTGGGTTTTCAGAGACAGTTATCTGCACAGTTAACTGTCCTTATTTCTTCTCCTAGGATTGCTCTAGAGAAAACAATGCAAGCTCACTTCTCTCTATTATTAAGATAAGTCCTTCTCAAGTTTTCTACCAGCCTCAATCCCTTGAATAAAAATGGTAGGTCAGAAATCTTTGTCTCTGATCTTTTTTAATAAAGTGAAAAGCAAAGACCAGAAAGGATACTTTATAATGTTAGCCGGCCTGATAGAAAGGCTCTAATAAGACCTACTCCAGCCCACAAAGGTGTTGACAGATTAAAGCACTCCTCTCTGCCAAGGTAGATTTTCGATCTTTTCCTCTATTGTTTTCAGGTACCATGTTTCATCTCCCCCAAAAAGCAGTAGCCCTAGAATATAAGAACTTCCCTGGAGCATTAAGAACTTCGATTCCTTCACACCGCCACTGTTAACAGCACTGCCTTGACATAGACATGATAACTAATAAAGGAGAGAGGGAAAACAGAAATGATGAAAGGAGGAGGGGAAGAAAGAAAGCACTCTGTCTGGATGTCCATGTTTTCCACAGATCCTGGCAAACAATCTACTCTTGACCAGGCGATCTGTTTTTCCCACCTGACCATCACCGTGTTGGGACATATTCAGCCTAAATAGAGCCTCTACCCTTTCTCCGATATTGAAGAAAAGGACACAACATATATTTTGGTAGTCATTCTTAAAGGGTATTCACCCAAGGTATCCATCCAAGGTAAACAAATGATAAGAATGTCTAAACAATCTACAGAGTTTTATAAGTCTAGTAATCGAGGCATAGGAAGTAATAGTTTCCAGTGATTAGAAAAAAACAGGAAGGGACAACAAGATGGGGGAACCCCTCTTCCAGCAGCAGCAGGCATGCTGGCTTCTGACCCCTCCACCTATCAGACTCCTACCTGGTCTCAGGAACCTCACTCAAACCCTAACCACTTCCACAAGGCTTTCCTCGAATATCTTGCCCCTAAACTGTATTTTCTTCCTCTGATCTCCCACTGTCCTTGTCATTGACATCACAGGACCAATAAGAGAACTTTTTCTAAGATTTTATAAGGAAGTGCTTCATAAATGTTATGATTAATACCATACGCATTATGTTAAATTATCTGTATACACTAGCTTATTCGATAGTCTAACAACCCTATGGGGTAGGTATCATCATTTTTATTTTATAACTTTAGAAACCAATGCTGGGTTAATTGGCTCAAAGTTATTCTATGAAACAAGTGGTGAGGCTAATACTCAGGTGTAATAAGTGGTGAGGCTAATACTCAGGTGTGCTTGCTTCCAGACCCTTGTTCTTAACCATCCTGCTCTGTTATCACCTTAGGGAGTTCTGGTGGCCAAGTGGATAAAGAGTTGTGCTGCCAACCCAAAGGCAAGCTGTTCAAACCCACTAGCTGCTCTGGGGGAGAAAGAAGGGCAATCTCCTCCTGTATGATTCACAACTCTGAAAACCCACTGGAGGGTCAGCTGTGAATTGGTTCTGATTTCACAGTACATACAACAATATGCTGTCACTTTATCATAGGCTGTTGTATATTGCCAGTTATGCTGTGCCATTTCAATAGTATGTTTAAAGCTTTCCCGGTAAAAAATGTTCGTTATCTTCCACTTCTTTGAACCCTCTCCATCCCCCAATGTGTGCTTTGAACCAAACAAGTATCTTATGGATGATAAGATCGTTTCTCACCTGAAGAGATCTAAAAGCAGCTTTTGATCCCCTATCTCCTTAAGGAAGTGAATGAGATGTCTCAAGGCAACCTGTCGCACCTCCAGCTCTCGGAAGAGGATCTCTGGCAGGCAGGAAGAGGGAGTTAGAAGAAGGCACAAAGCCCATTACTCAAGTGTGAAACTGACCTTCTGACTCATACAGTCCACAAACATCATCTCCTCAAAACCTAGCAGATGCTAACAAAGGATGGGCTTCACATAGTACCCGCCCCGATGGCTCTATCCCTATCAGTGCACCATGTTCCTGGGTAACTCTCAGCCACTGAACCAGCTTTTCAGTTCTTACCAAACCAAACACTCAGCATGGCCTTCCTCAAACCAACACAGGCATTTTGCTTCCCAACAGAGAGGACTGTGCGTTAAACACAGTTCGCTGCCCTCAGTTATGGGATGTATGCTCTGAAGTCTAACTGACTCTGAAGCAGATCTGATGCTCAAGCAGAGCTGATACTGGAGAATTCGGGTCACAAAGTCACCCTGGCATGCTCCCTTTGCATGTGGCAGACCCTGCGGTCTGAAGAATTCCCTAGACCCGTGCTCACCTTTGCTCAGTGTCCTCTTTAGGAAAATCAGAACCTAGAGGCAGACAACAAAGGATGAATTACCCTGTGTATTTTTCAACACAAGTTCTCCCTGACAGCCTGATGTTTAAAAAT